CTGTATAGTAGAATAACTTCATGATTTTCTAATATTAATCAGCAGTACATATTAAATGTCTTTAGCTCCCGTATAATAGAATAACTTCGTGATTTTCTAATATTAATCAGCAGTACATATTAAATGTCTTTAGCTCCCGTATATTAGAATAACTTCATGATTTTCTAATATTAATCAGCAGTACATATTAAATGTCTTTAGCTCCCGTATAGTAGAATAACTTCATGATTTTCTAATATTAATCACCAGTACATATTATATGTCTATTGCTCCCGTATAGTAGAATAACTTCATGATTTTTTAATGTTAATCAGCAGTACATATTAAATGTCTTTAGCTCCCGTATATTAGAATAACTTCATGATTTTCTAATATTAATTAGCAGTACATATTAAATGTCTATAGCTCCCGTATAGTAGAATAACTTCATGATTTTCTAATATCAATCAGCAGTACATATTAAATGTCTTTAGCTCCCGTATAATAGAATAACTTCATGATTTTCTAATATTAATCAGCAGTACATATTAAATGTCTATAGCTCCCGTATATTAGAATAACTTCATGATTTTCTAATATTAATCAGCAGTACATATTAAATGTCTTTAGCTCCCGTATATTAGAATAACTTCATGATTTTCTAATATTAATCAGCAGTACATATTATATGTCTTTAGCTCCCGTATATTAGAATAACTTCATGATTTTCTAATATTAATCAGCAGTACATATTAAATGTCTACAGCTCCCGATAATCTATCATAACACCGTCAGACCAAATCCTCTTAAAGACTGCCCCCCCCCCCAGTAGTACAGTGGTATGTCTTCGGACTTACAACGCTAGAAACTTGGCTTCGATACCCGTGGTGGGCAGAGCACAGATAGCTCATTGTGTAGCTTTGTGCTTAATTGCAAATAAACTTTTAAAAACTAGTTTCCAGTTCATTGGAAGTTGAAATTCAACAACTTTGCATTGAATCAAAGTAGTTGCTAGTATAATATAGACCATGTCCGGAAGCATGATACGTACAGTCTGTAATTATATAAATTTGAAGGTTTCATTTTGATGCTCATAATGTAGTATTTTGACCTTTCAAGCTTTTTCGAATCTCAATTGATTACTTATATTTAAGTAATTGATATTTATAAAACCTGAACGGCACCTTATATGACACACGGGCTAAACGACTAGATCAAGAAACCTAAAAGCTCAAGCAAAGTCAACCCTAAGTTATAACTGCTGACCAGAGGAGGAGGACAGCCAATCAGCTGTACCCTCCGCCTAAACAGTTACTCTTAACCGAATGACAGGATTAATTGTCATGGTTACATGCCCAGCAGCTGAAAGTGCAAAGCGTTTGCTGTGGCATATCGTGGCTCGAACTTTGGACCATGCCTGGCCTATTTAAATTTAGGATACTGTTAAAGAGTACACGTTTAACACTCCTTTTAACGTGGTGAAAGTTATAGTTGGCATTTATAAACAGTAATTTTCGAGAGATAAAATCTTACGAATATTATTCTATGACTTCTGTCTACGAGTAGATCATTAATGTTATTTTTGTTCTGAAAGCTGAAGTTTCATAAACGTTAAAAGAAGTTCGACTGCCAACAGTCTTAAAAGCTATTATTATATATTCCTCTTGGTAATATGTTTTTCTTTTGAACTTGATCAGGCCTGTGTAAGATCGCCGGCGCACCAGACTTCACGAACAGATTTCGAAATAAATACTACCAAAACGTATCCCTAAAAATCTATATTTGTATTTCTATGTAGAGAGAAATCATTATGAAATACTCTACAATCTTTATTAACATTTCAGGTTCACCACAACCAGATTCTCACCTTCCAACATCGAACACTCACCACTTCGAGACTGAAGTAACCTCGTTAACCAAAGATTATTTTGAGAACTCAGTGGTTGCCAACACTAGTACTAGTTCAGTGGATTCTGGCACCAGCTCTCCTCAGCAGGGGCACTTCGTGGTGGTGGCAATTGACTTCGGGACAACTTACAGTGGTTATGCCTTCAGTTTCATCCGGGACCCTACGAATATCCATATGATGAGGAAATGGGAAGGTTAGCTACTCAACGGGTGTAATAAGATTTGTAGAATAATATGTTACCAAAAATTTTGCACTTTCAGAATATATCCAGAAATAAGTTACTATTCTACGTTATTGTTAATAACCATCCTCTGTGACTTCAATTTTCTACTGCGTTATTTGTACTACCGATAGTCTGAGACGTCATCATCTACGTAGGATTTGTAATACCCTATATTTAGCAACGTCATATCCTGTATAGGGTTGGAAATACCTTATATTCTGTGACGTCATACACTTACAGAGTTGACAATAATATATATTATGTGACCTCATATTCTATATAGGGTTGTAATACTTTATCTTTTGTAATGTCATAGTCTTATGTATTGCTAATATCTCATATTTTGTGACATTCTATATTGTTGGCATTACCATATATTTCTTGAAGCCATATTCTATATTGTTGGCGATACCCTATATTCCGTAACGTCATATTCTATAATGTTGGCGATACCTTATATTCCGTAACGTCATATTCTATAATGTTGGCGATACCTTATATTCCGTGACGTCATATTTTATATTGTTGGCGATACCCTATACTCCGTGACGTCATATGCGTCTATATTTTGGATAATACCCTATTTTCTATGATCTCACACGATAATGCACATACGACTAACTGCGTGGTCTTAGGATTCAGTTTGTAGTTTTGACGCTAGCTTTATGGTCGTTTTTGATTAATCCTTTCACGAAAAAACAAGAAAATAGTATTTCTATAATCATTGTACAAAATTCTAGCTTAAATTGTAAAACTTGTATCGTATCTTCACAACAGCATCATCAAACATAAGTGTAACACATGGTGTTATTATAATCAAGTGGCATGTTTTGTGGCCTAATTTTGTAAATTATTTTTGAAAAATAAATGTTCTGCAGCACTTATTCAAACAGATAGTTATATTTTCGTTCTTTAGTATAATGCGATTAATATCAAGAAATATTTAAACTGTTAAGTGAATTATTTAATGATAATTCGGCTTCGTTGCCATCTCTTTGAAAGTTATTACCCAGCACTATAAATCTTGCTTAATTCATATGTTTGCGTGACAAATGGAATATTATTCATCCCAATTAGTTTTACTAATTTCCAATAGGTGGCGATCCTGGCGTTCCTAATCAGAAAACTCCGACAACGTTACTTTTGACACCTAGCGGCGAGTTTCATTCATTCGGCTTCACCGCGAGGGACTTCTACCATGACTTGGATGGAGAAGAATCTAAAAGGTGGTTATACTTCGAAAAGTTCAAAATGACCCTTCACAATAATGAGGTAAAACTAAAACCTTGAACTTGGGTTATAAAGGATTAACTAAGATATGTACTGGTGCACTTGGAATTACGAGACCATAAGATAACACTCAAATGCGCAACGTTATAAAAAACATCGACACATATAGAATACAAAGAATTATAAGGCAACATTCTCAACTGTACATAAAGCTATATAGCATACATGAACATAAGTATTGTCTCTCACACTTCGTCTTAAATATTTTTATCAGCAGCAACTAAAACAAGTTGATTTGTTTCCCACTGAATAATATGAAAAATAATGAATACTCTTTTTTAATATTGTATTTGCTTTGAGGTCTTTTAACCATTGACCGGACCGAGAACCTGAAATTAACTGAATTTACTTCTTCAATTCGCATACTCTGTAGAAATTAAACCCTTTCTTCGCACAAATCAACTTAGCAGAGAACAATTAGATCCAGACTTATCCAGCTCAACTCACTGGAGAATTAAGACTAAGCGAGACGCGCACATTTCACCTTAGTGGAGAAACATAACTGATGTAGACGCGTTGGGAGTAATTCAGTGGGTAATGATTGAGACATACAACGATTAATTTAGCGAAGAAATATATGTAATAGAGACGTGTGCAGTTCATATTAGTGAAAAAAAGAGTTCTTGGTCTCCTTAAAATAATTGTTTGCAAACAAACTCTGTGCACGACTGGGACCTGTCGATTCCAAGTGTCTTACTTGAACTTGACTCTGTACACGACTGGGACCTGTCGATTCCAAGATTCTTACATGAACTTGACTCTGTACACGACTGGGACCTATCGATTCCAAGAGTCTTACATGAACTTGACTCTGTACACGACTGGGACCTGTCGATTCCAAGAGTCTTACATGAACTTGACTCTGTGCGCGACTGGGACCTGTCGATTCCAAGATTCTTACATGAACTTGACTCTGTACACGACTGGGACCTATCGATTCAAAGAGTCTTACATGAATTTGGCTATGTGCACGACTGGGACCTGTCGATTCCAAGAGTCTTACTTGAACTTGACTCTATGCACGACTGAGACCTGTCGATTCTAAGAGTCATACATGAACTTGCATTTTGTATTTCCACTTTTTATTTTTCTGGAAAGTTACCATAAGAAATAAAAGAAACAAACAGACTAACATTAATATCCTCAGTTTGAGAGACACATAGGCTAAACAGGTAGGTCAGAGGACTTAAGATTTAGGTATAACTGCTGACTAAAAGTAGGACAACCAGTCAGTAACACCCACCGCCTAAGTTATTATACCAAGTCAGATTAACTAGAAGGATTAATTGCCATAGTCATAACTCAGGACCTTGCGATACGCAGCCCATCATGCTAACCTCTAGGCCACGGCTGGTCTGATAATTATGGTAATACATTATCGACGATTCTTTGTATGTACTTTTAAGTAATGAAATACATATTGCTGAGGCTGTGTAATTTATTCGAAATATTTTTAGAACCTTGCGTTATTTCTGTACAAGTTTAAAAATCTAAGGTTTAAAAGATAAAAGTAAGATGTTTGTGTATTCTCGCTAGAGTTTCGTATTATCAAAACTTTTGCACACTCCAGCTATTATTCTTTTTTGAGACGACCCTTGATGCATAAAATACATGTGATGGGAAGGTTACTGGAATAGTTATAGTAGTTTAGCGATAAACTTGAAGGCTTATAACGCTAAAATTCGAAGTTCGATCCCTGTGGTGGCCGCATCTCCTACAGAGTAGCTCTACCCACAAAACAATTACATCATATCCGCAGAGAAGGAATAGGTAGGTCTGTAACACTTTGGTTTGAAAACAATACCGTAACCAAACCGGACACGTTTTAACTTAAGTTGGTTTGAAAACAATACAGTAACCAAACCGGACATGTTTTAAGTTAAGTTGGTTTGAAAACAATACAGTAACCAAACCGGACACGTTTTAAGTTAAGTTGGTTTGAAAACAATATCGCAACCGAACCGGACATGTTTTAAGTTAAGTTGGTTTGAAAACAATATCGCAACCGAACCGGACATGTTTTAAGTTAAGTTGGTTTGAAAACAATATCGCAACCGAACCGGACATGTTTTAAGTTACAAATGGAGTGAAAATTATCTTTCTAAAATTATTCAATTAATGTTGTAGCTACTGCATTTACTCCAAAGGTAATGTATCAAAGGTATTGGAACACAAATAGATAGATACAATGTTTTCGTCCATTATTTATCCAACGCCCCCTATTAAGTACACTCTGAGATGCCAAATAATGTATCCTGGACATGTTTAAATATACTATTTTTTTGTAGTTAAGATCAAAGCTACACAGTGGGCTAGCTATGCTGTGCCCATCTCTGTTATCAAAACCGATTTCTAGCGTTATAAGTCCGCAGACTTACTGCCGTGGCACTTGGGGGGGGGGGCTAGCTATGCTGTGCCCATCTCTGTTATCAAAACCGATTTCTAGCGTTATAAGTCCGCAGACTTACTGCCGTGGCACTTGGGGGGGGGGGACTTGAAGAAATCGATTAAATAACTTATTTTACGTTCGAAGCATTGCCTTTTAATGAAGCCATGGGGCGGCGCTGTAAGTAGAGTTGGGTTCACGTGTTGTTTGGATCCGAAATAGACACCACCCATAAATATTATACTATACCCCAAGCTCTTAATTTAAATCAACTTCCTATTTAAGGATCACGCTAAAATATATATAGCTTGTTTGTTGAATTTCGCGCGAAGCTACTCGAAGACTACATACGCTAGCCACCCCTAATTTCTAAGTGATAGACTAGTCAACACCACCTACCTCTAACTCATGGGTTACTCTTTTATCAACGAATAGTGAGATTAACCGTCACATTATTATAATTCAACGGCTGAAAGAGCGAACATGTTCCCTGAAGGAATTTGAACCCGCGACCGCAGATTACGAGTCGAGTATCCTAACCACTAAGTCATGCCAGGCCCCAAATATGTATAATATAATAAAGACAGAAGCTTGCAGTGGACCTGATGTTGGAAAACGTAAATTTTCTATTACAAACGCTGGCCCTTGTGGTACTTGAGCTCATGCTTCACATTTTCTAGACATACTTTTTCACGACCTTTCACCCATAGGTCACGTAGCCTTTCCATGTCATTCCAATGGCAGTAGTAAATAATCCAGTCAGTAAGTTAAGTCTAACATCACGTATAAAGCTCTTTGACACTCAGATTGGACTAAAACTAGGTCACGTAAATGTGTACTATTGTGCTGTATCAAAATATTTATTGACAAGAGCTCTTGTCAGACGGTCGTCTTTGTGTTCCAATAAGAGTATCAACAACTTTGAGAAGTTTGTGTAGAACATTTGTAGAAGTGTTTGATAACACACATCTGTATATTATAATAACGAGAAGTACGCATGCTTTACGTCAAAATGTAATAGATAAGGCGGTGACATACAAGTATGTTTAATATGACATCGATAACAACCAATAATCGTTTGATAAGTATTCTCACTGAGCCAATTATAATAAGTCTGACCAAAGCTAAAGTAGTGAACATGATTATTTTGTAATTATAGTATATTTTCTTCTAACTTGCTCATCAAAAGTTAATATTGAATACGTAGAATCGCCATTTAGTGAATACGTTATTTTTAAAAACTAGTACGCTCCCCACTGGCTCAGCGGTATGCCGCAGACTTATAACGCTAAAAATTTGGTTTTGATACTCGTGGTTGGCACAGCATAGCTAGCCCATTGCGTAGCTTTGTGCTAAAAATCAGCACACATCGACTGTTGGCTTTACCCTTTCCAAAATGCAGTAACCCACTCGTGCTACTCGAATATATCATACTTCCTATTTCTAAACGTTGAAACAACTTAAACTGGACACGAACAAGTAATAAATGAACAAAGCTTTGCATTAATCTCAGCATTTTCGAGTGCGATACGAAACAAGAAGGGTAAACTTTTAGTTTTTATTTGCTAAAACCCGAGTTATATTATGTTTCAATATTAATTAGAAAAGTTTTGTTAAAATAAGACAGAAGGTTATTACGACGTTTATAGTAAACGCTATTTGTCAGTTTTAAAAGATACGTAGAAGTACATCACAAATGGTCTGGCAGCCAGTCTGGTAATGAGAGCTTTATCTGAAGAGTTAGGACAAACCACTTAATGGGAAGGGAGAGGTAAAGACTAGAGTAGATTGGAACGAACAATGTCTTCAACACTTTTCATCGGTTTGTGTCACAGCCACACTGACATACACATTGCACAAAGGCCCGAACTTCGTCAGGAGTCATTCTAATAGAGATCATCTCTCCTTCTTCAGGAGTCATTCTAAAAGAGATCATCTCTCTTTCTTCAGGAGTCATTCTAATAGAGATCATCTCTCCTTCTTCAGGAGTCATTATAATAGAGATCATCTCTCCTTCCTCAGGAGTCATTCTAATAGAGATCATCTCTCTTTCCTCAGGAGTCATTCTAATAGAGATCATCTCTCCTTCCTCAGGAATCATTCTAATAGAGATCATCTCTCCTTCCTCAGGAGTCATTCTAATAGAGATCATCTCTCCTTCTTCAGGAGTCATTCTAACAGAGATCATCTCTCTTTCCTCAGGAGTCATTCTAATAGAGATCATCTCTCTTTCCTCAGGAGTCATTCTAATAGAGATCATGTCTCCTTCTTCATGGGTCATTCTAATAGAGATCATCTCTCCTGTCTTATCGTACACCCAACAGATCCTGGTCCGTTGCATGTAGTCCTGGAAGTTACAGATGCTGCTGGAAGACATCCATGGTTGGTAGACGTTTGTCTCTTGATAAAGTCTTCTTTGATAAAAACTGATAACACCTTTGGCCAACTGTACACCAGGGAGATCAAAGTCACGCAAGCTGTTTCTTTTTTCAAAATGTGGCAGTTCTGGATGAGCCACTACCATTTTAGTCCATAGTTGTTTATTAGTGCCACTAACACAATTCATACCTGTTGAAAGCATGACAGAGAAAACATTTCCAATGCCAGTAGCAACTGTGTGAATGTGAAAGGATCTCTTCTTGCAACCAGTTCCTGTCTTGAGGTAGAACACATCAAGCTGTATATCTGTACATGTTCATAACGTGTTTAAAAGTTCGTTTAAATAATTGATTAAGCATTTAGGTGACTTTCTAGTACAGAAGAACAAAACAATCATTATCTCCCAACCAGAATCATTTGTATATTAACTTTGCGTCTCATTAAACACACTGTACTTAACAGTGACTTACTTAGACGTCTCATTAATCACACGGTACCTAACAGTGACTTACTTAGACCGCTCATTAATCACACTGTACCTAACAGTGACTTACTTAGACGTCTCATTAATCACACTGTACCTAAAAAGTGACTTACTTAGACGTCTCATTAATCACACTGTACCTAAAAAGTGACTTACATAGACGTTTCATTAACCACACTGTACCTAACAGTGATTTAGACGTCTCATTAATCACACTGTACCTAACAGTGACTTACTTAGACGTCTTATTAATCACACTGTACCTAACAGTGACTTACTTAGACGTCTCATTAATCACACTGTACCTAAAAAGTGACTTCTTAGACATCTCATTAATCACACTGTACCTAACACTGACTTCTTAGACGTCTCATTAATCACACTGTACCTAACAGTGACTTACTTAGACGTCTCATTAATCACACTGTACCTAAAAAGTGACTTCTTAGACGTCTCATTAATCACACTATACCTAACAGTAACTTCTTAGACGTCTCATTAATCACACTGTACCTAACACTGACTTCTTAGATGTCTCATTAATCACACTGAACCTAACACTGACTTCTTAGACGTCTCATTAATCACACTGTACCCAACACTGACTTCTTAGACGTCTCATTAATCACACTGTACCTAACAGTGACTTAGTTAGACCGCTCATTAATCACACTGTACCTAACAGTGACTTACTTAGACGTCTCATTAATCATACTGTACCTAACAGTGACTTAGACGTCTCATTAATCACACTGTACTTAACAGTGACTTACTTAGACGTCTCATTAATCACACTGTACCTAACACTGACTTCTTAGACGTCTCATTAATCACGCTGTACCTAACAGTGACTTCCTTAGACGTCATCACGTTGTCTACATCCACCCTGGTGTTTATTCCATTGAAAATGTTCTTGTAGATGGGTTTTACACTTCACTCACAACCTAGTCTGGACTTCTATACTGAAACGGGATTTACTCGAAATTTCAAAATAAACTGTTTTATTTTGACTGGTGTTTTAACACACAATTTTATCAAATTCGGTATTTTCTTCCGTGTTTTTACAGACGCATATTATCATAAACTCCTTTCTTTTGATTGATCGTTTTTATATTACTTTCATTTACGCCATAGGAAAGTGACGTAAAACAGTGGCATTATTTTGAATGCGGTTTTCACCAGTTCATATAAATGTCTTGAGAATACAAAAGGTTCTAAAATGAACCCTCTGTTATTACAAATGTAATGTCTAGTGAAAGCAAAGATTGGACATAAACACTTTTTTAGACATTGAAAAAAATTCACTTCTTGTGGTTGGGGGCCATCTTACCTGTAAACTTAAATAAAACGGACCCCAAGATGAGGTACAATGGCCCCGTTAAATCATAGCGAAAGAAACTAAATAAATGTTGCATTTAACGAGTGCACCTGAATAATTTAACTTATCATTTAATCGCTCCCGGCAGGGGTCGGGAAGGTATTGTACCATGAGCATTATCTAGGAAAAAAGCCCACCCTAAAAAACATGAATATTAAATATGACTACAAGATTTACATGAATACTAGTGTAAGGTGAGATATGTCCATCACTCCGCGGCAAGACGGCTCCAGGAGGGGTGTGATCTCCTTACCGTAAAGTAATCGCACGTCACAAAATATATGAGTGAACTGGAACCGTGTTTCTTTCATAACATATTTGACTGGCTATAAGTACTTACTGTTTGAAATCAACAAAGTTAAATTCACTGAAATGTCTTTTGTTGGTTTAACACGTAAGCGCAAAACTACACAATAGGATATATGTGCTATGCTCATTGCGGGTTTTGAAACATGTGAAAACATTTTTCAATGGTGTAAGTAAGTCCTCAGACTTACCGCAGAGTCACCAGGGGGAGGGAGAAAAATATCTACTTTCTAATAAAAAAAAAATGTTTTTAGATCAAAACTGTTAAAACTTTAGAGTTACAAATAATTCACACTAGATGCCAGCACGTGCAAAACAGCAGAAATTTACTTAAAATGCTATAATGGTTCAGAATTATTTCTCCGAACAAATTTTTAGTAGTTTGTATCACCCTATTCTGATTTGGAACAGATATTTTACGTGTATCAATATATTTAAGTGGTAGACAGTGCAAATTTTTATAATTTGTTTATGAGCGTGTGTGTGTTGATTTGCAAACATGAAAATACAGATTCTGGATATTTTTAATCTTGGAAGAAAATGAAAATAGCGTCCAGATGATGGAAATAGACAGAATTTGAAACATGAAGATAATAATATTGTTCATTTTGATTATTCAAACGTGTGATTCATCTAAGTTATAATTATTGTCATTTAAAATACTCCATTTCTCTCTATTTGCAGAATTTAAGTCGAGATACACCCATAAAAGCAGCTAATGGGAAAACTCTACCAGCAGTACGTGTTTTTGCCCACGCTCTTCAATATTTCAAAACTCACGCCCTGCAGGAGCTTAGTGACCAGACAGCTACGGACATAGTAAACGAGGATATCCGTTGGGTGGTTACTGTCCCCGCCATCTGGAGGCAGCCAGCGAAACAATTCATGCGTACGGCAGCGTATGAGGTAGTGTTTAAATACATATTTAATCAAAATACAAACATTTCATTAGCATAGATTTTGCTAAAACATTTGGTTACAGTTCTTTTATAAACGTTTCATGTTTATAGGTCAGACAAATTGATATATTACTATTTTGTATATATATTGATTTATAGCAATGTTGTAAAGTTTGATAAAGGTTCTCTGCAGAGTCTAGTATTATGTTGTATAATTGGTAACAGTTCTCATCATTATCTGTTATAATGTTGTACATTTTGGTAAAGGTTCTCATAAAAGTCTATTAGAATGTTGTAGAATTTGGTAAAGGTTCTCATCGGTGTCTGTTATATTGTTGTACAGTTTGGTAAAGGTTCTCATCATCAGTGTCTGTTATAATGTTGTACAGTTTGGTAAAGGTTTTCATCATCAGTGTCTGTTATAATGTTGTACGGTTTGGTAAAGATTTTCATTATCAGTGTCTGTTATAATGTTGTACGGTTTGGTAAAGGATCTCTTCATCAGTGCTTATTATAATGTTGTCCGGTTTGGTAAAGGATCTCTTCATCAGTGCTTATTATAATGTTGTCCAGTTTGGTAAAGGTTCTCATCAGTGTCTGTTATAATGTTGTAATGTTTGATAAAGGTTCTCATCTGTGTCTATTATAATGTTGTAAGGTTTGGTAAAGGTTCTCATCAGTATCTATTATAATTTTGTACAATTTGGTAAAAGTTCTCATCTGTGTCTAATATAATGTTGTAAGGTTTGGTAAAGGTTCTCATTATTGCCATAATGTTGTACGGTTTGGTAAAGATTCTCATCATCAGTGTATGTTATAATGTTGTACAGTTTCGTAAAGGTTCTCATCAGTGTCTGTTATACTGTTGTACGGTTTGGTAAAGGTTCTCATCAGTGTCTGTTGTAATATTGTACGGTTTGGTGAATGTTCTTTTCAGTGTTTTTCATAATGTTGTACAGTTTGGTAAAGGTTCTCATTATCAGGGTATGTTATAATGTTGTACGGTTTGGTAAAGATTCTCATCAGTGTCTATTATAATGTTTTACAGTTTGAAAAAGGTTCTCATCGTCAGTGTCTATTATGATGTTGTAAAGTTTTGTAAAGGTTCTCATCATTGTCTGTAATAATATTGTAAAGTTTGGTAAAGGTCCACATCATTGTTATAATGTTATACAGTTTGGTAAACGTTATCATCAGTGTCTATCATAATGCTGTAATGTTTGGTAAAGGTTCTCATCAGTGTCTGTTATAATGTTGTAAGATTTGGTAAACGTTCTCATCAGTGTCTGCTGTAATGTTATACAGTTTGGTAAAGAATCTCATCAGTGTCTGTTATAATGTTGTCCAGTTTGGTAAACGTTCTCATCAGTGTCTATTATAATGCTGTACAGTCTAGTAAAGGTTCTCATTAGTTTCTGTTATAATGTTGTACAGTTTGGTAAAGATTCTCATCATCACTGTCTGTTATAATGTTGTACGGTTTGGTAAAAATTCTCACCAGTTTCTAATATAATGTTGTACAGTCTGGTAAAGGTTCTCATCAGTGTCTGTTATAATGTTGTACGGTTTGGTAAAGGTTCTCATCATCAGTGTCTGTTATAATGTTGTACGGTTTGGTAAAGATTCTCATCATCAGTGTATGTTATAATGTTGCACAGTTTCGTAAAGGTTCTCATCAGTGTCTGTTATAATGTTGTACAGTTTGGTAAATGTTCTCATCAGTGTCTGTTATAATGTTGTAGAGTTTGGTAAAGGTTTTCATCAGTGTCTGTTTTAATGTTGTCCAGTTTTGTAAAGGATCTCTTCATCAGTGTCTATTACAATGTTGTCCAGTTTGGTAAATGTTCTCATCAGTGTCTGTTATAATGTTGTTCGGTTTGGAGAGGTTCTCTTCATCAGTGTCTATTATAATGTTGTCCAGTTTGGTAAAGGTTTCATTAGGCTATAGTGTTTATTATAGATTGTTCCATTAGGTTATAATATTTAATATAGGTTGTTCCATTAGGCTATAATATTTATATATAAACTGCTCCTTTAGGCTATAATATTTGATATAGATTGTTCCATTAGGTTATAATATTTGATATAGGTTATTCCATTAATCTATAATATTTGATATAGATTATTACATTAGGCTATAATATTTGATATAGATTGTACAATTAGGCTTATAATATTTGATGTAGATTGTTCCATTAGGCTATAGTATTTATTATAAATTGTTCAATTAGGCTATATTATTTATTATAGATTGTTCCATTAGGCTATAGTATTTATTATAGATTGTTCTATTAGGCTTATAATATTTGATACAGATTGTTCCATTAGGCTATAGTATTGTTACGAGAGCGGAAGTCTCGTGACTCTGCTGGAGCGTTTGGCGCTGGTAGCGTGCGTGAAATTTCTCGAATGATTATTAATGATCGGGATACCCGAGTGCATTCGATCGCCTACTTTGTTAGTATATAACCAGGCAGAGAACCTAGCGATAGATGGATAATTAAAGAAGCGAACAGTAGTGACCGTAATTAAAGTGTGTGAATCAATATGATTTATAGCGTGTATTATAAAAGTTATTAAGTTTAAATTGACGAGAAATGTACTGACTGATGAATTGCTGTGTACTAAATGTTTGTATCGAGGAAGAATAAACTGGTTTAATCAAGAAAGGACTTGTATCGCTGAAGTTCCTCGGAAAGAATTTCTACCGGAAATTGTCAAACAGGCAGATACGTAACAAATTGGTGCCAGAGAGTGGGACGGAAAAGAAAAAGATGGAAACGAGAAGTGGCAAATCAAACTACGACTTATAAAGGCTGGAGACGGCTTGAATGGGTAATGAAGAAAAACTTTAATATAAGTTTAACATAACAGCAAATGTACAACGTTTCGACAAGGTTTTGTCTTCATCAGGTACGACTTAGCAGATATGATGGCAGCAATGCTATTGTTTGCGACGAGCAATACTAAGGAAGGGGCAGTGTTACGACAGCGGAAGTCACGTGACTCTGCTGGCGCGTTTGGCGCTTGTAGCATTCGCGAAATTTCTCGAGTGATCATAAATGATCGGGGAGGCCCGAGTGCATTCGAGACACTCCCTTTGTTAGTATAGATCGTTCCATTAGGCTATAATATATGATATAGATTGTTCCATTACACTATAATATATCACACTAGTCAGTTTTGTAAAAGTTACACAATCTATAATGGCTGGCGAATTTACACAATCTATACTATTATTCTGCTTGTTTTTATGTACATTATGCTTTCTGACCGAGAACGTGCTTCATAAGTATGTGTAGTTAGAATGTTTCTCCAAGAAAAACCGCGCATGCGCATTGTTTACTGGACGACAAATAGTCTGCCTGCGGCAGAAAGCTGTAAAGCTCAGTGATTAAGTCGCTGCAAGTTCTGTTTGAAACAAGAAGTAAGAACAAAATGGGAATATAAATATACTTTACTAACCACTTTATACAATAGAATTTTAAAACTTATCTAAGTTTTAAAAAAGGTTTGAGGTTAGGTCGTAGAGTAACATTATAAGTTTATTTATTGATTGTGTTACGACAGCGGAAGTCACGTGTCGCTAGTAACACGTCATGATATTCTAGAAGGATCATGTCTGTTCGTGGCAACTCTGGTCTTTTCTACGCGCCCTCTATTCTTGTATATAAGTGCGCCAGATAAAGAGAAATTAATTAATCGGAAATAGAATTGCAGACAGACAGAGACAGACAGTTAAGTCAAGCGCGGTAGTGACCCTAAGTAAAGTGCATGAATCGTTGTGAATTATAGCGTGTGTTGAAGTAAAAGTGACTGTGGAAATTAAGCGTATTGCAAAGTTGTACTCAGAAAGAATAAACTAGTTTTATGTAAGAAAGGACTTGTGTCATTGAAGTTTTTCGGAAAGAATTTCTACCGACAATTAACAAACGACACACAAGCGTCACAACTTGGTGTCAGAAGTGGGATGGAAAAGAAAAAATGGAAACGAGAAGCGGCAAATCAAACTACAGCTTAGCAGATTTGATGGCAGCAACACAAGAACAGCAAAAGAAACAAGAAGAACGAGAAAATAAGAAGGGAGATTACAGCAGTGGTTGGAGGAGAAAGAAAAGAAACAAGAAAAACGAGAAAGAAAGAAGGGAGATTACAGCAGTGGTTGGAGGAGAAAGAAAAGAAACAAGAAAAACGA